GTTGTGACCCAACCATAAAATTATTTTCATTGCTACTTCATAACTGTAATGTTGCTACTGTTATGAATCGTAATGTAAATATCTGATATGCAGGATGGTCTTAGGTGACCCCTGTGAAAGGGTTGTTCGACCGCCAAAAGGGTCGTGACCACAGGTTGAGAACCGCTGCCCTAGGCTGTTATTCAATATATTAGTCATGTTAGATGTAGTATGTAAAGCAGCTTGAGGGGCAGCTGTGAAGAAAGGTAGACAACAGTTAGTACATCTGTAATAATGACGGCAGTGTATCTTGACCCTTGGTGAAGGCTGTGGAGTGTATGTGAGAAGTCGGGGTAGGCATGCAATTTGTTGAAAGAAAGCAACTTAATATACTCAAAAGGGGGCTGAGGAGGGGCATCAAAATCTGGCTGAGAGGAAGTATTCGAAGCATCTCAGGAGCATCTAAATCAACAGGTAGACTCCAACAGTGGTTTTTGGGGGATAGTGGAGACAGAGTTGGGGAGAACTAGGAGAGAAAGAGCTAGAAAATTACAGCTGCATGCACTAGTTAAGAGACTACCTTTCCTCTCAATCTCCATTTCCCAATGAACACACCCTTGAGGGAGGGATCTGATGTAGTGAATGAGGGAAGAGGTGAGTAGGTGAGAGAAGAAAGTTCTCTCTGATTCCACTCACTACCCCCAGGAAGGCTTCCTGACCTGAAGCAGGCTTGTAGGAAAGGGGTTGGTGACTGAGGACAGCACATTATATATTGAATGGACTGTACTGGATTTAGACTGTCTTGCTAAATCATTTTGGACATTTTTGTCATATAATTTACATTGTTCTTGTCATTGACACAGAACAGAAAATCTAAGGGCCCACCCTATATTTCATTCAGGGGCAGAAGAAAAGTTAAGTTCAAAAGCACAGTTTGGAAGGAACAATGGAAGAAAGACTAAAGTTCTTTTTTATTTATTTTCTTTATCCATTTATTTATTGGCAGATACTTAGGTTCTTTCCATGTCTTGGCCAATGGAACCGGGAGCAGATATCTTTTTGAGTTAGTGGGGTTTTTTTTTCGTTTTTTTTTTAATTTTTTTATTGCTTAAAGTATTACAAAGGGTATTACATATGTGTCCTTTTTCCCCCCCGCCCTTGACAATCCCCTGGCCTCCCCTACCCCCCAGTGTCTATGTCCATTGGTTATGCTTATATGCATGGGTTTTGTTTTTGCTATTAAATTTTTTTTCAATTATAGTTTGCATTCAATATTATCCTGTATTAGTTGCAGATGTACAGCATAGTGGTTTACAGAGAGGTCTCCTGCTCTTGCAAATACCCACCTGGCTCCATACATAGTTATTACAATATTATTAACTATATTCCCTGTGCTATAGTTTATATCTCTGTGGCTATTATGGTTTTATTTTTCTTTATTTGTTGACAGTATTACATATGTCCCAGCTGGCTGAATAAGACATTTACCAATCTAATGATTGTATGAATGTCTTGCTTCTTATTTGAAAGTGCACTCTGCACTTTATAAAGATAATCTCATGAGTTAAATTGGTGTGTGTTTTTTATTATTATGACTGCTTTAGTAAAAATTGTCCACACCCAGGGCACAAAGAAAAGTGATAGATTTCAGTGCTGTTTTCTTTTCTTTTTGGAAATAAATGAAGAAAAAAAACACACCCTCCTTTTTTAGTGGCCTAGTAACTGTAATGAAAATGCCAAGCATTCGTGGCTGAATGAATGCACGAGCAGCAGTTCCTTTACAAGTGAGAGAAAGGAAAGTTCAGCCAAGCATGACTGCCACGGTCTCCTTAATACGCTTGCAAAATGTGCCAGCAGACACCATGTATTCAGATGGCTAACCCAGATTGAAGGTGAAGTATTGTGGGTAAGAGTTTCCACAGGAAAAAATATCAAACCATTACACAGGATGCTTCAGAAGCCATGTGGAGCGAAGGAAATGCAAACTTGAGAGTCGGGTCTTTGAAGGGCTGTGCACCTGCCGTGCAGCGTTACTGAGGTGGTATGTCATATTTTACACATAGGAAATGACAAATGGCAGATGAATATCTTTTCTAAAAATGTGTTTTAAAAAAATGGAGACTACTATCTTTCCAGACAGAGACAGGCTATATGGAACTTTGTTTTTCTCTAAAGTAAGAACAGACATTGATGGCATAGAAGTTACTAGTACAATGTACAAACGACCTGAAGTCAGTGATGACTGAACTTTTAAATCATGTGTCCATTTCTGGCATTCTTAGATACAGAGAGATTAACTTGGTTAGTATCTTCATTCTCAAAATCTACTGAAACTTTTTCATCAAGTGCTGGGATATTCTTATCTTCTATTCCCCTTCTTAATTACCTGCTTCAGGGAAAAATTATTGAATTTGTTTACATAACACAAAAGAGGTGCTTCACAGTTAAAAAGTTAAATTTCCCCTAATATTGGAATTCTACAGTAGAAACTGGAATGAATTGACTCTGTTGTCCATTTTATTTCCTAAACATAGAGGTATCAAATGACAAATACCAAATAATTTTTATAAATCACTCAAAAAATGGTGAGTTAGTCATATCTATTATTTGTAAGTCATAGTCTACAAAAGCATATGCCCTGAAATTTTTACTGATTAGACTGTAGAATCTTTTCGGATAGGTACAACAGAAAGTGATTCAAAGGATGGTTCCTGGCATCATATATATGTTCCATCAAGTAGTAACATTTGCAATTTAACCTCTCTGCATCTTAAGTTATTCAGTTGATATATAGGCATACTAATAATAATACCTTCCATCAAGAGTTTTTTTGAAGACCATGTAAGATAAGAAAATAGTTATGTTCTTCTCTGCTTTAGTCCCTTTGATGACTTCCCATTCCCTTCTGATAAAATCCCCAAACCTCAGCACGACCTATAAGGCCTTACATAATGTACCTGCCTGTCCCTCCAGCTTAATCTTGTTCTATTCTATTCACTACCCAGCTGATAGACTTTCTTTCAGTTCCTCCAAAACAAATGATCTTTACAAATGCTCTTCTTTGCCTGGAATATATCTCTAACTACCCCCTCCCGCCCCCCGCCCCTGCCCCCCACACACACAGCACATGCAGCTGACTCCCAACAGCCTTTCCTTCCCAGTTTAAACATCACTTGTCACTTATTTAAAGTGATTTATCCATTAAAAACCATTCCTTCCCCTATTATTCTCAGGCATAAAATCGTGTTCATTCCTAATAAAACAAATGTTAGGTACCTTGTTTGAAATGAATGGAAAGATAGGAATCAAGCAGATGAAGAAGGAATTATTACTTTTATTACCTCTAGACAAATGTCAGACTATGTAAGCCATGGAGAGATTTAAACTTCCCATAGGTTTACAGCTCAGAAGAGCAACACAGAATGTGTGTGTTGCAAGAATGAGGGAATGAAAGAGCAGGGCTCATGGGCCAGTTTCTCCTTCCAAATGCACTAAATAAACAAGTTACCACAGTATCACACAGGACAGTGAGTGTGTGAGTGTGTGTGTGTGTGTGTGGTGGGGGGTGGGAGTGGGAAAGAGAGATTGGGCGGGGGGGTTAGAAAATCCTTCTACATGAAGTAAAGATTGGGAGTAGGGGGAAAACATTTTCTCCATCCCAAATTAAATTGTATAAATTTGAACCCTATACAATAACCATTTTTGAAGTTAATATCAGCAAATTCAAATTGTTTAAACATAACCATGCATGCATATGTTCTATGCACATGAAATATATAGATATGTTTGCATATATAGAAATATTATATTGTGTATGTAATATATGTGTCAATGTATATGAACTGTATACATATAGTATGCAGGCATACCTCGTTTTGTTGTGCTACATTTTATGCACATTATAGGCATTTTGCTTTTTACCAATAAATGGCAAGACCCTCCACCAACAAAAAGAGTACAACTCACTATATTTTGACACTTTATTATGGTGATCTGAAGCAGAATTTGCAGTATCTCTGAGTTATGCCTGTACTCTACTATACATCATATGTACATGTCATACATATATCTGCGTGATTATTATTATACTAGTGGCTCGGTGCATGGATTTGTGCACATTGAAAGGAAAATAATTAAAATATATAATTTAATATTGCTATTTGCCCTTTCTCCTTCAGCACCTGGGAGCTGCGTGGTGGCTCCGTTCCCCACCGCTGCCACCGCTGTTTGCCGTCTGTGGGGAGAGAGATAGAAACATCAATGATGAGAGAGAATCATTGATTGCCTTCTGCATGGCTCCTACTGGGGATGGAGCCCACAACCCAGACATGTGCCCTGACCAGGAATTGAACCATGACTTCCTTGTTCATAGGTCAAGGCTCAACCACTGAGTGCACCAGCTGGGCTTGCCTTATTTTAAGAACTCAATAGATACTAGCTATTGTGATGATCACACTGCCACTACTTCTGCTCAGAAAAAATCCTTAATATTTGTATATTAATTTTTGATCTGGGCTGTGTAAGTTCCATTTCACAAGTCCATAACCTTGCTTCAAGTTTCCCTCATATAGTTTATCTTCCACGGAGCATATTTTCAGGTAACGTCCCATAGTTGCAACCTCCACAGCTCCTAAGGCATAACCTCAAGGAGAATAGGGTGAGTAGCAACTATGGCAAACTTGAGAGTGTACATCCTGTCCAAAAAGGGTAGCCAGTTTTCCAATCCCTTCAAACTTGCTTTGTGAAAATGTGATGTTAGTGCTGTCAGATATTGATTTTTTTCAAGAGTAGCTGGAAATCCACATCTATATATATAAAAGCCTAAGCGACCTACCGACCGAATGACCGGAATGACCAGAACGACCTGTCGCTATGATACGCACTGACCAGCAGGGAGCAGATGCTCAACGCAGGAGCTGCCCCTGGTGGTCAGTGTGCTCCCACAGTGGGAGCACCGTTCAGCTGACCAACCCGTCCCAGTGGCCCTCCAGCCCGGCGACAGCCACTCACTTCCTCCGTAGTCCAGAGAATGGGCCAGGCACCAAAAGACCAGCACCACCGGCCTCCTGAAAGTTGGCCTCAGGCACCATGGTCGCTTCCCTTCCCTAGATGCTCTGCAAGGAAGAAACAATATAAAAGTGGCCGCCAGGTAGCTACGACAACCAGTGTGAATGTCAGCAGGATAGATCCGGATCCCCGGCTGGCAAGTGCATCCGACAGCCTGCCTGGAGGGTCAATCGTGTCCCGGCTCCCCCCACTGCCATTAGGACCCCACCCATGCACGAATTTGTGCACCAGGCCTCTAGTTTTAGTATAAAATCTTCTAAATTGGGGAAAGTAATTAAAAATTGCTAAACTCTATGTGGTTTGAAAGATACTTGTACTTCATACTGCCCAGGGGCAGCTAGTTGCTGACCTCTGCTTTTATGGCAGTTGTCTGTGGTATGGGGTTTCATCAATCCTTTGTTATTCTTTATTTACTTTTAACATAGATATTAGTCTGTGCTTTTAAAATTAGTGTTTTAAAAGTTGAATTTAATTTCTTTGCAGGAGATCTATTTCTATCTGTTGTTTTTGCATTCCAACCTCTCTATCTTCTGCTTCTCTAAATCCCTACCTGTTTATTTTCTTAATGTCAGAAGAGTTTTCAGGTATATTACATTATAAGGGCAGAATTTTTAGCAAAAAGGAGAAAGAAAAAGAGCCGAACAGTATTTTCAAGTACAACACAAATAAATAAAATTTTGTGATGTGTTTGGTAAACTCAATTTTGGAAATATCTGAGGAAAGTGGACACAAAAAGTGGAGGCAATGATTTTACACTCAGTTGATATATTTCATCTATAAACCCATTGGGCAATAGTTACGCTTTCTCTTAAAATGATTTTTCCTTAAATCATAGAAAAACAAGATTAGCTTTTTATGTTAGCAATGGTAGAAACTACTGAATGTCAACAACGCTAAAATGCAATCAAATTTCATATTGAACATATTCCAAACTATGAGAAAAAAATACCACGGTGGCCTAAACTGTGTCATAACACTATTCACTTAGAATTTTTATTATATATTAACTAGAGGCCTGTTGCACGAAGAGATTCATGCAATAGGCCTTCCCTTCCCTTGGCTGCTGGCACCAGTTTTCCTCTGGCACCCAGGACCCAGGCCTTCGCTCTGGCTGGGCTCTGGCCAGAGCCCCCGCCCCAGCCGTCAGGCTTCGCTGCTCCGCTGATCCCGGAGCCATAAGGCCTCGCGGCTCCGCTGATCCCGGGGCCAGGAGGCCTCGCGGCTCCGCTGATCTTGGGGCCATGAGGCCTCGCTGCTCAGCCGGCTTTGGGGCCATTTGGCTTCGCTCCACCGCTTGGAGCCTACGTATGCAAATTAACCGCCATCTTTGTTGGCAGTTAATTTGCATATTGCCCTGATTAGCCAATGGGAAGCGTAGCGAAGGTACGGTCAATTACCCTTTTGTCTTTTATTAGATAGGATGAAAATGCTTTGAGAATTAGACATAGATTTTTTTCACCAAATATCATATTGTTCTGTTTCCTTGCCTTTCTTCAAAAACCTAGTATAACAATTTTGAGGACATTTCAAATGATAATTAAATTCAATATGCATATCACTGTCAATGCAAGTAACTTCAGTGAAGTGACTTGGTCAACATCTGTGACCAAGTTCATGAGCATGTAAGACAATCACAACTATGTCAGGACTGCTGCCTGGGACAACAGCAATTCTCTTTAAGATAAATCACCATTTCAGAAGAAGTAAAGTCTAAAAATATGTGTTTCAACATCAATTAAATATTCTAATCTCTAGTGCTTACATGGTTTCTGAAATATTAGTTTTATAGGAAAACTTAAGTTCACTTAATGCTTTCTGAAAAACTTGTATTTTAAAATAAATTAATTCCAGAACATCACTACATTTTAGTCAGTAATTCAGTTGATGGAATATTTTATACTGCTCCTTTGTCTGCTTCACAGCAGACTTCCACTAAGCTGTTTCCTTGTGGTGAAAAAGAGTTAAAGAGGAAAATCTTTCAAAGCAACTCTTAAAACTTATAACAGAGTACCAAAAGGAGTCACCCTAATGAATATAAGTATTTCAACTTAATAAAACAAACATTTATCTAAGGCTTTATGATAGATACTTCAGAAAATTAAAATAGTAATAAAGATTCCAAGTACCCATAATGCAAGGCAAACTGATCAGAGTACTCCAATAGAGGTAATGGTATTCAAATAGTTATAAGGAAATACTCTCAATATCCACAATGCAAAGCCCACTGACAAGCCGAATAACAGTAAAATCAAAGGGCAATGGGAAAATCCAAGAGAGAGTATAATATGTGCCTGAACATAAAGCACATACATCACCGCAGAATGCTTAAGGCATAGACTATTAATCCACCTTATCTGGGTTCAAATCTGATGCCTTGGTTCTTTACTGGCTAAGAAAGGACGTAATGATTATTCCTACTTCCCAGCCCTGTTGAGAGGATTAAGAGTTCATCCTGTGTAACTATGCTTGATACACACAATCTACATCACAGGATATCTACCTGTCTTCAGGGTTGGGGAGGTATGAAATATACTTAGTCCTAGTGTAGGATCCATACAGAGGTCATCTGACAAAATTGGTTTAAAATACAAGAAGGCAAAGCTATTTAAAACAGATTAAGTAATTATTATTGGGGTATCACCCACAATTTTAAGTGTTCCATATTAGTGCAAACCTTCTCTCTCTCTCTCTCTCTCTCTCTATCTCTCTCTCTCTCTCTCTCTCTCTCTCTCTCTCTCTCTATCTCTCTCTTGTTAATCCTAACTGTAGGATAGGGAGGGGGACAGAGACAGAGGAGAGAGGAGAGAAACATTGATGTACACATTATTGATTGGTTGCCTCCCACATGCTTTCCTACCGGGCAGGAATCAAACCTGTAACTCAGGTACGTGCTCTTGACTGTGAATCGAACCCGAGAGCCTTCAGTGTGCGGGTCCATGCTCTATCTGTAGTAGGCAGTTAGATAGACACGAGCAGAGCAAGGAGAATGGGCCAGGTACAGAGGTCACTAGGCAGAACATCCCAGACACCTAGCAATGAAAAAAACCCGGTAGAGCAGATATTGGACATATTCAATTCAAGACCTTGAATCTAGAACTTCTTTCCACCCTAGAATGCCTCTGGTCATCGAGGTGGGATTCTCCTGACCTTTCTCCTCTGGCATGTGGTTAGTCATGTGGTAGACCATCCTCCTTAGAGGAGAAAATAGGGGCTGGAGGAAAGCCCCATCTAACTTCCATGCAAAAACAGAAGACAACAGCACAGGCCCTGATAGGTCAGTCTGAAGAAGAAAGCAGTTAACTCCCTTCTAAGGGTTTAATAGGAATCCTAGCCCACTCCCCAGGGCAACTCTTTGAGCTGTCAGCTTGAAATTTCTCTTCGAGTGTACTTTCTCTTTACTTGCTCAAAAGATTTTCTCTAGTGAGTTTGAGTCTTGATTGAATTATTTTCTTAGTCAGAATTCAAGTACCGAGGTTGCTGAACTCAGGTTTGGTCTGATCCCACTGGTCTGACACCTGATGCCGTTCCTGCTGCCTACAACATATCCACTAAGCCACGCTGGCCAGGACAATGCAAGCATTCTTTTAAAAATCATTCAAAAGCTGACCAGTGTAGTTCGACCTATGAACCAGGAGGTCACAGTTCGATACCTGGTCAGGGCACATGCCCAGGTTGCAGGCTCATTCCCTAGTAGGGGGCATGCAGAAGGCTGCTGATCAATGATTCTCTCTCATCATTGATGTTTCTATCTCTCTATCCCTTTCTCTTCCTCTCTGAAAGCAATACAAATATATTTTAAAAATCATTCAACAAACCAAAAACTGGTGGAGATAACTCATTTACATATTTAGGGTGAATGAGAAAAAAACAACTTCTTAATATGAAGCAAGTGGAAACATGGTTTGTAATAAAATTCCCAGTGACAGAATCATAAAAGGATTCAGGAAGTTATAGTGTCAAAAATATAGACAGATGTGAAGAAAATATGCTCTGAAAAAAACCCACTGATGATTCAAAATGTGGCTTTCATGATGAAGTCATTGATGTCAAGTTGCATGTTATAATTTGAATAAAACTTTAAAAAATATAAATGGAAAAGGCAGTATTTATACATTAATGCATAATTTTACTTTTATATTTGTTTATCTAAAATGACAAATTAAGTATTAAGTAAATAATTAAATAAGTAGACATGACTATTTTCTCTATCTCCCTAAAATTTTATATTTGGCAAAAATAATAGTAGGCTTTCTTTTTGAGAACAATGAAGAGATTACTTTAAATTCTGTTGTGTAAATAATTCTGGGTATCAGTGATTCAGAAAGGCTTGAGAGGGAGGTGGGATTTGAACCTGTCTTGAAGAATCACTGGAGAAAAGAGAAGTAAATATATTAAGGGACTTCTATTTTCTAGGGCCTTAGATATGTAATCATATTGAATTCTCATAGAGATTATTATTCCCACTTTACAGATGGGGAAATTGAGGCTCAGAGAAATTAATGAGTTTGCTCCAAATGCCACAACCCACACAATTAACTTTCAATTCCAGCACTGGGCTTTCCCTGAGAGGCAATCTCCAGCAGAGGATGTATCCAGAAGACTATGTTGGACTTCTCTCTCCCTTACCGTCCTAATTGGTGTAAATTGCTCAACCTCTCTTAAGTTTCTTATCACAGGGATAATAACATCTTCTCTTCAAGGAGCTGTTGAGATAATGAAATGAGCTTTTACAAGTAAAGTGCTGGGAATAGCAACTGGCTCTTAAATGCTCTGTGGGTGTTAGCTTCCATGATGCAAGGAAAAGGTTAAGGAGGAAAAGGAGGGAGAGGAGGAGAGAAGCAGGAGGACTTTCAATCTCTCAGTTCCCCTCTTTCAGAAGCACAGGGCATTCTGGGTAGGAGGGGTGGGAGGAGCATAGATGCCAAGTCTGGCCAGGACAGAGCTCTGCCTGCTTCTTACTCAAAATGGAGGAGCCGGTGGGAGTGGGCATTTTGGGATAAATCCAGCTTAGATGAAGACTGCTGGGTATACATACTCCAATGGCCTTGGCAGTAAACAGTTTTTCATACCTCAATTCTTAAGTTAATTTTCCTATTTTGTTCCCTGAATGCCCCACTATGAAGGCTGCTATATAAATAATTTACAGCCTAGTTGTGTTCAATTTATCTACTATTTATTATTTAACCTCTTTAAGTCTCAATTAAGCCTGTATTAATAAAATTGGGAAAAAATTTCCAACTCATAGAGTTGTTGTATACATACGACATAACATATATGTTAGATATTTGCCTAGAATCTGGTACGATTAATAAAAGGTTGTTTTGCCACATTTCCTTTGCCTTTTATTTTCCTCCATACACTAAGGTTCTTTTTTTGAAAATGTCTGTGGACAATTGGACTCTTTAAAAAATGTTTTCATTGATTTTAGAGCGAGTAAGGGAGAAGGATAGAGGTAGAAACATCAATCGGTTGCCTCCTGCATGCCCCCTACTGGGGATTGAGCCCGCGACCTATCAATGTACCCTGACCAGGAATTGAGCTGACCTGTTGGTTCATGGGTCCACTCTCAAAACACTGAGCCATACGGTCTGGGCATACTTAAAACCAGAATACATCTTATAACCAATGTATACATTCATTGGGGGAGCTTTTTTTCTTTTTTCACTTCCCGGAGCTATTATTAAATTATCAGTGTGCCTCACACAGCTCTGAACTTTATTTCCCCTCAGAGAAGACTAAATCCAGAGGTTGTATTGTATGTATTAAGCACTGTATTCTCAAACTATTAAAAAGTAAGTGCTCAATAAATTTTTTAAACAACAAATGACTGAATGATAACCAAGGAACTAAGATATTGTTACAAAGAGGCACAAAGTCCAAATTAGTCTACAAAATTTACTGAGAGAAGTAACTTGATCACACAATGCTTGATATTCTGAGACATATAACTGATGTAAGAGTTTTTGTTTATTTATAACCCACCGTATTCAAAAAGGGATGTAAGATGGCTCACCCAGATAAAAATAAATGAAAAAGTATGTGAGAACTCTGAGAGGGAGAGAAAAAAAAGACCCAAAACAAAACAAAAAAAAAAAAACAAAAACAAAGACAAGGGTATGGACTTAAAATGAATATGGGCTTAAAATGAAGTCAGGAAAGAGCAAATAATAAAATTCTACAGGAATCCAAAGAAAAGAGAATTCCTGAGGTTTAGAAAATGTCAAGAAAACTTCCCTGGTGGAACTAGGATTTGCTCTGAAGTACTGGTTAAACACCCCCCCCCCCCCCCCCCCACACTCTTGGTGCCAGCCCTTTCAGAGCCTGGGGAGCAGGAATTTTGATGAAGATGAGCCTCCCCAGGGCCTGGGCTCCTGGGAAGCCTTCCACATGCTGGATCTCACCAATTATCTCATTTTCATAATAAGTTCACCGCTTTCCCTAATGGCTCCACTTCCATCAACAGGTACCGGGGAAAGATCAGGACACTGCATCTTTTAAGGGAGATAAATTCAGGTCAGTCTGTGAAGAGATGATTATTTTAAAAATAAAGCCCAGCCAGTGTGGCTCAGTGGTTGAGCCTCCACCTATGAACCAGGAGGTCACTGTTGGATTCCTGGTCAGGGCACCTGCCTGGTTACCAAGCCCATCCCCCCATCCCCAGTGTGGGGTGTGCAGGAGACAGCCAATCAATGATTCTCTCTCATCAGTGATGTTTCTCTCTCCCTCTCTCTCTCCCCCTTCCTCTCTGAAGTCAATAAAAATATAATAACCAATAAATAAAGAAAAATGAGGAGTTGGCCTTTGAACTCACGGCAAACAAGTGGATTTTAGAAACTCAGGTACTGGGGGTGGGGGTGGGGAGCACAGATTTTTTGTTGTGTTTGTTTTTGACCCTTTGCTTTTGCTGCCTCCTTATGATCACTTCAAGAGCTCTAACAATCTCAGGTGCGGGCAGGACTGGGGCATGGTGGTCTCTCCTCTCCAGCGCAAAAGTGAAGAAAGGGGAATTTAGAATTCAGAGGCTCTGTTTCTCAGGGGAGAGCGTTTCAATCTAAATTGAAAACCACGTTCAGTCTGTAATGCTCTGTCTGCTCTGGCAAGTTGCTCTGCGTTCTCAGACTCACTCACCAGAAAAAGGGGATCGTCACCCCTTCCTTGCAGGGCTGACTTGCAGGAGAATCCTATGTAATGGGCTCGGCTTACTCGTTGGCACGGGGCGTGGTGAACAGACCCCGGGGCCCACGGAATGCACCTTGAGTGGGAGCAGCCTGGGAAAGCGAGCGCCTTAGGTGAGTCTCAAGTTCGGGAAACGCTGAGGCCACCTGGCAAGTGCAGGAACACGAATGATCAGGGGTGGGGAGGTGCCGCCCCGCTGCCAAGCCACCCCCAGCAGGCCGTCCGCAGACACCCACCGGCTGGCAGGAGCGGGGGAGCGGTCCCGGGCATCCTCTCCGGGGCGATCTCTATCCCGGGACGCGCCCTCGCAGTGGCCCGCGGGTCGGCGGGTCGGAGCTCGGAGCCGAGGTGCGCCAGGTGCGCGGGGGGCCAGGCGCGGCCAGGTCGCTGCGCACTGAGTCAGCCGCCCAGCTATGCCGCCCAACCAGGACGGCCGGCTCGGCCGCCCCCGCCGCTGAGCTCGCGCTGCCACGCGCGGGGCGCCGGTCCCCGCCCCCGCCCCGCCCCCGCCCCAACCGGCGGGGAGGAAGCGGCCGAGGCACGGCGCCGA